CATCATAAGAGGGATCTGACCCTCTCTGGAAGTGTTCTTTACTTTGTTATTCCTAAATAAAATTTCTCTTTGTTACACTGAAACTTATGCAAGTACTTTGCTCTCTATTCATGCTGCCTGTGCTGCTCCAGTTTTATTTCTACTTTCCATTTATTTTTTTGCTTTTAATTACCTCCATGCCTCAGTTGAACTTTCTACCTCAGCTGAGTAATTGAACCAGGTCAACTGGGTTTGGGGAACTAGGACCCCAACCTCCAATAGGTAGTATGCACTAAAATCTAAAACAGAAAGTCCTGGGATTAGTTTATAAAATCCAGTGAATTTCTGGACTGTAGAGATTAAAATAATAGTTACTATGGGGTAATTTACTACTGAGCTAGACTAAGTTTGTGGGAATTAAGATCATTACCTATTTTAAAAACATTAGGGGGATTTCTCCATGTAATAAATTATGACCCTAGAATAATAAGCTCTAACTTAACAGAGAATTTAACTTGGTTGTAATTTAACTAAAGTTAATTGGGCATATAACCAGCTAGGAATGTGTAATACTTTTTCAAAGACCACTTCTGGAAAAAAACAAACAAAATCTCGACAATAATTCCCTATAAGTAAGAAGAAAGAGTTAAACAGTATTAAGATATATGTAGTATTAGCGCTATTGAATGACAGAGTCTAAAGTTTACTTAAGGAAAGTCAGTTAATGTGTTACATTGGAAATCAATAACATTCATTTAAAAATAAATAAAAAGAGGTTAGGTGGACGTACAGAAAAAGAAATCTTCTTGGTTTCCCTCCATGGAAAGCGAAGGACCAATGTGCGAACTCCATTGTGAACTTCAAACACAAGGACACCTTTAGAACAGACTCCAAGCAATATTCCTGTTTGTGACTTTTTCTCGGGGTGTACTCGGTAAAAGTGAACTCCATATTCTGTCAGTCTTTGGCAGACCTGTGGGAACAATACCATACCACAGCAATACACTTTGGTAAATGGTGACATAAAGATATTGAAGCTGCCCCAGTGCAGTTTAATGTGGAAAAGAATGGTCTTTTCATTCTTTTCAAGTGTTGCTGGAACAACTGCCAAAACAAATAAATAAAAAATAAATCTTAACCCCACTTCACCTAATATAGGAAAATTAACTTAAAATGGTTTACACACCTAATTTAGGAGCTAAGATATAAAATTTAAAAAGTTTTTGTGATCTTGGGGTGAGCAAAATAAATTTTTTTTAAGAAGAAAAAAAGGCATATGAATATAATTAATGTGGACAAATATGGGAAGTATAAAATTGAAACTCAAACAGGGGTGAGGTAATTGAGGTTTAAACGTCCTCCTCAAAAAGGAGACATAAATGCGGAAGAGGTGCTGTAGGTGATTTTTAGGGGGATAGTAAATAATTTTAGAGAATATGAATAAGAGATAGAAATATTAACTTATACATGTTTCTCTTTAGAATTGGATGAATGCAAGAGGCAGAACAAAGTTCCTCTGGGTTTGGTTATATCCCTTAATCTCCTTTCCTGGGATAGATAATAAAATTTCAGGGAGGGGATGAAAGGCAATTGTATTCTCTTTGGTGGGTCAGGTCGTAAGGCAGCTAAAGGGATATTAATGTAAACTTTCATCCTGTGCTGGGGGTATGGCAGGAGAAGCAGGAGAGAACAGGAGAGGTTAGACTATCCTTGATTCTGAGGCAGCTTCTCAGGCCTTGATTCAGTGCTCAGCATGCTTTTTTGGGTGTTTTTTCTGAGACCCAAAAATATGCATACAGATGCATACATCCCCATTGTAAAGTTGGGAAATTGTAGGCAGAACTTTTGTAAGTTGGGACCATCAGTACTTACTGCTTCTCAAATTTCAGTAACTTAAATGAGAAAAATTTCTTAAGTGGGAAATAAAAAGCATAAACCATAAAAGAAAAATATTGGTGGGCAGCGCCTGTGGCTCAAAAGAATAGGGCACTGGCCCCATATGCCGGAGGTGGTGGGTTCAAACCCAGCCCCAGTCAAAAACTGCAAAAAAAAAAAAAGAAGAAATTGGTAAATGGGAACTTCATTGACATTAAAATCTTTGCTCATCAAGAGCCACTGTTAAGAAAATATAAAGGGAAGCCATGGACTGGGAGATAAATAAATGTAAAGCATATATCTGATAAAAGACTTGTGTCTGGAATATATAAAGGACATGTACTTCTCAATAGTAAGGAAACACACAACTAGATAGAAAAATAAGCAAAAGATTTTTTATTAGATATGTCAACAAAGAAGATAAATTGATGATAAACATATGAAGAGATGCTTGATATAAATAGTAATGAGGGAAATATAAATTAAAACCATAATGATATATACTACTCACACAGTTCCAGGGCAAAAGTGAAAAAGATCAAAAATATCAAGGCTGTCAAGAATGTGGAGCAAATGGGACTCTAATACACAGTTGATATGACTGTAAAATTGTAGAAACACTTTGGAAAACAGTTTGGCAAGTTCTTACAAAATTAAACATATATTTACCATAGGTCCTAGAAATTCTACTGCTAACTAGTTACTCAAGATAAATAAAAACTATGTTCACAGCAAGATGCATATTGGAATAGTTGATAGATAGACCACTATCTATCAATGAAAAGAATAAACAAATTGTATATCTATACAAAGAAAAACTACTCAGCAAAAGATTGTTGTTCAACAGTATACATTTTTAAAAACTCATTCGATTGAAAAAACAAGAGTAGTAAATTAAATCACACCTCTGCTTTACAGTAAAGCAGATTTACAAAAAGCTACAGAAGTATTTCAAAGGCAATCCAATATCTAGTAGAAGTCTAAACTTAGAAGGTTGTGTTAAAATCTTGGATTAAAAGAAAGACGCTAAAGTTAAAGAGAAAGGGGGTAATAAGCATACTATTAGAAGGTGTAGAGCAAAAAAAAATATGCATTAGGTGTGCTATTTACAGGGAGAAAACTGAGACTCAGAGACATTAAATATTTTGTCCAAGGGCACCCAGTTAGTGAAATAATTCAAATGCAAGATTATCTGCCTGAAAACCCTTAGACTCTTTTCACTGTGCCAATCTGCCTTCTACTTTTACTAATATAAATATAACTTGACATTTGTTATAAGAATAAAAATGTAGTAACTAAGAAAAACATAAGTTCATAATTTAGTATCTTTAAATTTAGACTCAAACAAAACAAACTACCTTACCTTTCTTACCATGAATCCTAGATTAAAGGTGGTATGTCTGTGAAGTCAAACCCCTTTGTAGATTTTTATAGGTCTGGGAAACCTAGCTCCTTTCAATATGGAGCGGCAAATACTGTTTATATCCTAGAGAGCTAAAACAGGAGAACATTTTAAAAGTTTCTCTTTTCACTAGACCACTATCTTATAATATTTGTTGTTCATATTAGAAGTTTACATAGTGCTATTTTTCTCCATGATAAATGCCACTACTATTTATCTGAGGTCATATAGGAAGCTGGTGGCAGAACCGTAATCATAAGTTAATTTTTCTACTTCCTAAATACTGTAAATTGTTGGCATTTAGTGGAAAGACCATTTTCAAAGGGTACAATTGAATTTTAAGGTTTTTGAGAAAATATAAACAAAATAATTTTAGAACTGGTGTGAACTTTCACATTCAGCCATTTACCAAATTCTTTTGTTTCTTCTTTATAATGCATTTTGATTTTGAGCATGCAGAATAGGGTAAAAGCATAGAATTCATAGCCACATAGGCATGGGTTCTAATGATAGTTTTGCCCCATACACTAGTCATTGACTTTGGGAACATTACATTTCCTCTGTGAGCTTCAGTTCTCTCTTTTACAAGATGTAAATTAAAACCTCACAGTTCCTGTCAGCAATAACTGAGAGGAGAGAATGCAGTGTCAGTGATTGGCACTTGAACTTCT